TCTGGGAGTTGAAGTCCACTCATCTTAAAGTGGCCAAGTTTGGACAACACTGCTCTATTCAGTGTGGTGGCCCCTTAGTGATTAGCCCCTTTCCTGAGTAGAGTTTATTTCTTTTATTATTTCTGTGTCTGCTAGATCAACTGTTTACGCACTTTCTGTGCTGAATTCTTAATATTATATATTGTACTTGCATCAGTATTCTTGCTCTATATGGTATCTCTTAATGGGCAGCAGTCATACGAATGACGTTTTTGTCTATTTCTTGTCCAGGTCTGCCAGCCTTGGTGGTTGCCGTTTCAGTTGGCTTCACTCGGACCAAAGGATATGGGACAGCCAACTAGTAGGTTTCACTGGGATGGAAGGGTTGGGGAGGGAAGAAATTCGGAACTAATGCAGTGTGGAACCATCACCCCACTTTCAGTGCTTGCCAATTCCATGAAGGTGAGAGGGAGGTGGGACTTCAAGGTGCAGAGATCCAAACTGGAAAGATCAAACATCATCTGATGAGGATGAGGGGGATGGGAGGTCACCTTACTGGTCAATGTCCAGTGAGCCTATTTTTTCTTCCTGACTTTAAATAACACTTTCTCATAACTTTGGACTGGAGTGATTGCTTACTGCCTCCATCCTAATTTTTTAAATTACCACCTGGCCAGAGAGTTATTAGGTGCCATCCCTGGCTGATAGTCTTCTGATCACTATAAGATCCTTTTGAGCATTCAGAGAATCACCATATAAAGTTACAGAGACATGGATCTCTTCTTTAGATAAGGTGGGACTAAGACAAGATGGGATTGTCACTTAGCATCAGAGTTGCTAAGTCTTTGGATCCTTGTTCCTGCTCTTCTTTGGTTTTGAAACAGTGAGTCTTCCTTTTCTCTCCAGCTGCTGGCTGTCCCTTGAAGGAGGATTGCTGTATGCCTTTGTGGGTCCTGCTGCTGTGATTGTTCTGGTAGGAGCCCAGTGACCCTTCTAGGGTGCCAAGGATCTGACTCAGGGGCTGGTCTCATTCTCATTTGTGGGTTTTCCATTTCATTGACTGATGCTGGCAGGCAAGAACCTATAAGGGCTCATTTAAAATCACACTTTTTTGCAAGGAATTCCAAGTGCCTGCACAACTTGAGTTGGTAAAAAATTATCCCTCCATGCCCTCACATTCTGCTACCTCATCCCCAATGCAAAAGAGAGAGAGGAAGCAAGGGGGTGGGGGAAAATGTGACGTCCAGGCTATCCAACCCACTCCTGATGATGTCCCTAACTTTTCCCATTGATGTTGAGTTCCTTAGGACATTTCTTAACCAGGCGAGGATGGGAGCAGGATAGGTTGCCTCCCATCTTCTTGGGAACAGGAGGAATTGTTTGGACTGGTGCAGGAAAACAGCCCTCCTTGGGGAGTTTTGTGATCACCAAAATTGCATGAAGAGCCAGCCATGTTAAAGAGTGGAATTTGTCCCACTTCCTCAGTTTTTGAGAACAAAGTTATGATGTCTTCACCATACTGTAGGGTTTGTCCAAATTGGGTTGAGAAGGAAAGGGACCTTCTGTCTTCATTTCCATCCCTGGAAACTGTGATCAGGGCTATTAGACACAGTGTGGATAATTTGGTCTTGAATTATCTAGTGTGCCATATGAACCCTTATTACTGGTGCTTATTCAACAGACCAAACTTAAACATATCTTAGCACTATGCCTCATTTAGCCAGGATCTTGCTGAATCTCATACTTGTCTAGCTTAATCTGATTTTGCAGTATAAAAATGATACCACTTCTCTTGAGATACAACATTCCAAACACAGATAATATCTTCCAATAGTGATACAATGCGTGGCTAAAAACTAAAGAGAACTGGGATTGAAAAGCCTACATAACAACTACTAAACCCAGCTGTTCTAGTTTACAAAGTTCACTTCCCTGTGAAAAAGGTTTCTTTTTTCATTAACTTGTTTTCAAAGTCCTTGAGAACTTACCGTATTTAGAATTTCTCATTGGACTGTTGTTTTTTAAATCTTACTTTCTTATTAGAGATGGTGGAGGAGAGCTTCTTATGATGAGTTCCCCGTGTAATGCCTTTCTCTAGTAAGTGGTGAAGCCAGAGACACTGCAGAGAACAAAAGAGGTTATGGTATAATGAAAAAACAAGATATTCACACACATCTCTTGTCTATCTAGTTATTCAGGAAGTACAAGAACAATGCTTTCCACCCTGGTGAATTTCACTGATATTCTCGCCTTCTTTGAAAGCAATGCCAGAAAGCCAATCCTCTTTCATCAAACTGAGCATGCATTTTTTAACAGGGGAATGTTGCTGCACTGATTTCCTTTTCTTGTGGTGCATTTGCTTTTATGTTGTTACAGTCACTTTATACTAAGTCCTATACGTTACAGCAAACAGTGGTCTAGAAAGGAAAGAGCCCACGGTCCCGGCTTATCACAAATTTCTCTCCACCCAGGTCAACATGCTAATTGGAATCATCGTCTTCAACAAGCTGGTGTCTCGAGATGGCATTTCAGATAAGTCCAAAAAGCAGCGAGCTGGGTAAGGCTCTGTGCAATCGCCGGACATAGTCCAGCACCAACACAGGGAGAAAGAGCCCCTCTTTTGAGCGGGTTTATTTATTTATTTTATTGATTTATCAAATTTGTCACCGCTCTTCTCGTTGAAACTTCCATCTTGGGATTGTAGAAGCCCCCATGCTTCCTCCCCACCCTCTCTGCCTAACAGAGTGAAGACACTGAGAGAGAGCAAAAGGAAAAGGAAGAGGGGGAATAGAATATAAGAGTTTTTAACATCCCTCCTTGAATCTGATTCCTTGAGCATATCTTGAAAACAATGTGTACAAGAACAATTGGCCTCCGCAGAGCCCCCCAAATTCCTTGTGAATCTGGTAGCAATGTGTAGGTATCTAAGACTTTCTCCAAATGCCTCCAGACCCTCGCTCAGCCTTTTGAAATGTTGCTCATATTAATTAAAATAATATTTTTAGCATCCCGCGACACTTTGACAAATGTATTCCTAAGAGGATTCTTGGAAGTCACTTTGTATTTTTGATTTAGGTAAAATTCAGTGGCGTCTGTATGGTAGAACTATGCCTGACAGTGAAAAATCAATATACTTAGCACATCTTGTCCTATTATCCCCAAATGTGGGGCTAAAATCAAGAGGATAGTCAATATCCTGCATTGATTGCTGCATGTTAAAGAAGCATATGTCCTTCTGGGGTATGTCCCCAGTATTTGGTATTTATGAATACATCAGGAATTAGATTTTTTAAGCTTGGGGGCTGGATGGAGATTTATTATACAGCTCTAGAATGGAACTGCAGCTGGCAGTGGAAGATCAATACATTTAGCATATCTTGTATGTGTGCATATGTAGGCATAGAAGCCTTTTGAAGTGCAATGCATTTTTTTCTTAACTCTTGCAGATAATATACCCCTGAAAATAAGTAATGGACAGGGTTTTTTGAATGAGAAATCAGACTTAAAACCTTTTTGTGTGACCTACATCCCTCCAGTTGTGCAGCCAGATTTGGGTGGGCGCCATGTTGAGGTGGGAAACACATGAAAACTGCAGTATAGACATAGTCACCTTAGCAGAAGTGGATCTTCACAGAAACTCTTATTCTCCACTAATAAGTTTGATGTAGCCCTATCCTCTTTGACATCATGGTCCTGTCTTCTTCATTCCAAACAAAGTCAGACCTTGAGTTAGATAAGAGGAGCATCCTCTCCTATGTGGTCTTTTCTACACAGCAGCTTATGAATAGAATTGAGCCCGCTAGTCTTGTAGTGTCATAGTGAAGGTGTTGGACTAGGATTGGGGAGATTTGGACCAGTTTCTCTCAGGTGAAGGGCTTGTATATATATGTAATGTTATGTGGGAAAGACCTTGGGACACAGGGCAAAGAGATGGTGCCTAGGGAACAGTCAGATAAGAGGGAACATAGCTCACAGCTGCACAGTGAGTGAGGCAAGAGGCTCAGAAAAGACCCTCCCTCCTTTCTTGGGCTGTAAAGGAGACAGGGGGAGATTTGTACTTTCAGACTTACAAGATTCTCTTAATGTAGCTTTACAACAAAGTAAAATTAGCTCATCTGGTTGTGTTTCCTGTCTAGTCTACCTAGTAAGGCTGACATCATATTCCTGGAGGAAAAGCAAGATGTAAATTTAACAAATAAAATAAATAAAAAATATCCCAGGATCTGCAGCTTGGTACTTATTGGCGCTTTGTCTGTGCCTCTAATTCAAGAAGAAGAACAGACACAGGAGCAGAAGGGGGAGAAAAGGGCAGGTGGAAGAGATTCTTTGGGAAAGGCGGCAAAGAAAAGAAGCTCGTAGCAATGCCCCCTAGAGCATTTTCGCCATCTCTTCTCCCATCCCCTGCTGCCAGAAACAAAAAACAAAAAAACCCCCAAGGCTAATCAAATAGACGGTACCCCTTCTGGTAAGGTCTTGTGGCTTCAACCCAAGGAGAGTTGCCCATCCCATGTAGAGTGCCAAAGGGAATGGCCCATTCTCACATGAGGATGATCAGGAGCAAACAAAGCTCCTGCTTGGCTTCTTTCAGTAGACAGGTGGCTAAAGTCGGGTGGCCCTCTGAGTGGTGCCCTAGGGGCCACGAAAATCCAGCAGAGAAGCTAAACTGAATAAAACTTAAATTTACGTTCAGCTAAAATTACATTAATTATATATCGTTCATAAAATTACTCTCCATTTATATCTTTAATGAGAGGCAGGTTGGTGTAGTGGTTCGGGCCAATTGTTTTCCCCCCCCCCAAACACCCGCAACAGTGAAGGGGGGTCCCGCCAACCTCTCATTCCACGCGCCGTGCTGACGTTGGGGG